AGGATAGATGTTAAAATTGGCAGTCACTCAGGGAGCGTCATCAAGGTGCCAGCCACCCCCAAGATTGGGTAAGATTGTTGTCACCCCATGCAAGCTTGCCAGAAGACCAGGAGGGTACAGGCCTGCTGCATCTCTGGGGGGAGGATATTCCAAGGGGTGGGAGCAGTGGTATCGAAAGCCACTGAGAGGCCAAGAAGAGCAAGGATGGATGCACCACCCCCATCCCGCTCCCACCAGAGATCGTCCATGAGTGCGACCAATGCCGTTTCTGTCCTGTATCCGGGCCTGAAACCCAACTGAAAAGGGTCCAGATAATTCATTTCCTCCAGGATCCTCTGCAGCTGCAGTGCCACCACCTTCTGAACCACCAGTAAATTTGGTTTACTGAGCCATAGGTTTCTGACTGGCTTCCCCCTGTTGCTACTCGGAGTCACTTCAGCTTGCTGTGAATGTTTCCTTGCAAGGGCACTTTAAGCAGTTTGTATGTATGGGCGGTTTCTCAGAGGTTTGCTAGTGAATGCAGCTTACACGTGTACAGGAGGGAGGGTACCTTTTACCACCACAGATGCCACTGGTGTTGGCTCCTCCAAGTGGGAAACACCTAGTCAGGGTCAAGATGCAAGAAAAGGAAAGTAGCTAGCAGCACCACCAAAGACCCGCATAGACCCTTCACTGCAAACATTGACAGGGCAATGAAGGCTCAAACCTTAACTGCTGCATGAGGACACCATCCGCCAATTGCTAGAATCAACTGCCAGAGAGCCAGGACAAGCAAAGGAGACACAAGGAAGTGTCTGTGGAGAAACATCCCACAACATCTGTTGGCATTGTCACTTTGGGTGGTGAACCTACTTGAATGAATACAACGATCAAAGGAATCAAAGTTTTGAGGAGAGTCCTTTTTATTCTATGTTGACCTTGATTGTTAGCCACCCAGAGCCTTCAGGAATAGGTGACATATATATAAAGGAATACAAGCTGATTTCCACTGATTATTGGAGAGATGCAGGAACCACTTACAGCAACATAATTAGCAGTAAGAATGGGTGTCCCTGAACAGTGAAGAACCTCCCTCAGTCCTGGTAGCAAAGCATTGGGCTGGGATCATGATGGTTCTAATCTAACATCCAGAAAGCCACAGGTTCCCCACCCTGGATCTGCAATATGCTGTTCCTTAGCCTAGTCCCGGCACCTGACTTGGCAGGTCAAAGGCCCATGATTTTGTGGAAGATCCACAGTGACTGATAACTGGCAACCTTTTAGCTCCTTGCAAATGTTAAAGATCTTTAAGGAGAAGTGTAACTCTCCATCTACCAAAATGCATTTTATTTTTCTTCATGCACGTAGTGACGACAAATGTATTTGGGGCTGATCCAATTGTTTGGTTACTGTGGCTGTTCTGCCAAGAGGGGTGTAAATGGCAGTTTCAAGCAGCTCTGCTATGCTGACCATTCCAAAGGGTCTCAAATAAAATAATATTTGAAATTTACTCATATATGGAACTATTTAATACTTCCAATTGCAGTCAGATCCCATTCCCATCTGGACTCTAAAAACACCTTTATTTGACTGAGGCTTGCTATAATTTCAAATGAAAAGAGAAAGTGAAATTCTTGTCAGCCATAACTCTCCTGGCAAACTATGGAGAGAAGGCAGAACAAGGCCTTGATATTAAGAGCCTTTTCTGCTCATTATTGAAAAGAAAGTTATCCAGGACAGCAGCAGTAGGAGTTGTTGTTGGAACTTTGCCGGGACGTATAGGACTTTAGGAGAAAACTCATCTTGGTTGTTTCAAGGTTGCAGCCGATCTGCAGTTTCTTACACAGTCTATGAAAAATCAGGGGTAGGGTTTATCAAGCAGTCTTTTGCTTAAGAAGCACCATTCCCTGTTTCCCATACTGGTGGAAACTGGAGGCAGACTTAAACTTATAAACTTACCATGTTTAAGTGGTCAATTGGTTAGGTAAATTAATTTTGAAAAAGCGAATTATTAAAATAATTCAAAACTAAAATATGATAAGAGTTGTTCAGAAATAGGGAAAGGAAGGAAGGAAATGCCTTTATTGTGCAAATATGATTACTTAAGCAACCAGTTAGAACATAAGAACATAAGCATTGCCTTGCAGGATTGGACCCCTGGCCCATCCAGTCCAGCAGTCTGTTCTCACAGGGGCCAACCAATTGCACAAGGAAGCCCCCTAGTCTTCCAGCAGATGGCCTTCAGAGGCAGTCCCCTGTCATTGAGCCATTGATTCTCATGACTTTCATGAATTGGTCCAACCTTTTCTTGAAACCAGCCAAGTTGGTAGCCATCACCACATCTCAAATTCCAAAGTTTCATTATGTGTTACGTTTAAAAAAAAAAAATCCATTTGTTTGTCAGATTATTGAATCAAATCAAGTAAGTACCATCTGATTAAGATTTATTTGACTGAAGATCAGGCAAAGTCCTCCTAGCCTGCTTGCTGCAGAGGAAAGAGGCCCTGCTAACCATTTCCAGTTAACGCATCTGCTTGCCATGACCTGTCTCTCATGGTCCCCTGCAGCTTGAAGCAGCCTGAAGATACTTTTAGGTGGATTGTTGCAGAAGTGGTGCTTTTCCTCTCATTCCAGGTAAAGACTTTCTATTTAGAC